TTCAATTGGCCTATGGGGCCTGTGCAGAAGACAGATGAAACTTGAAGAATGACAGTGGATTATGATATGTTTCAACCACGTGTGGTTGAGCCCAATGCAGCTGCTCTTCCAGGCGTGGCTTCATTGCTTGAGCATCTTAACACATCCCTTGGTACAGGTTTGCTGCAGTTGACCTGGCATATTCCTTTTTCTCCATCCCTGTTCGTAAGGCCCACGAAAAGAGTTGCTTTCAGGGGTCAAGGTCAGCAGTGTCCTACCATTGGGGTATGTATGTCAATTCTCCAACCCTGTATCATAACTTAGTTCTAAAAGATTTTCATCACCTTTCCCTTCCATCAGATATCACAATGGTCCAGTCCATTATATTGATGACCTTACGCTGATTGGACCTAGTGAACAAGGAGTAGCAACTAATCTAGATTTATTGGTACGGTATTGTGTGTCAGAAGGTGGAAAACAAAATTCAGGGGCTCCTATCCTAATGATTTCTAGGGGTGCAGTGGTGTGGGGCAACGTCAAGATATCGCTTCTAAGGTGAAGGATGAGTTGTTGAATCTGACCCTTCTGACACCCAAAAGGGAAACATATTCCTCATTTGAGTGTGTTACTCCAGCCCATTTAACAAGTGACCCGAAAAACTGCTGCTGAATGGGGGCCAGAACAAGAGAAGGCTCTGCAACAGGCCCGGGCTGCTGTGTCACTTGGGCCATAGGATCCAGCAGGCCCAACGGTGCTTGAGGTGTCAGTGGCAGAGCTTTGGCAGCCCTGGTAGGTGAATGAAGCATAGGCCCCTAGAATTGCAGAGCAAAAGCCTGCCATCCTCTGCAGATAACTACACCCCTTTTGAGAAACAGCTACTGGTCTGTTGCTAGGCCTTAACAGACTAAAACACGTAACTATGGCCCCCAAGTTTCATACAGCCTGAGATGCCCATCATACACTGGGTTGTATCTGATGCATGAAGCCATAGAGTTGGGAATGCACAACAACAGTCCATCATCAAATGGAGCAGGCCCTGAAGGCACAAGTCAGCTTCATAAAGAAGTAGCCCAAATGTCCATGGGCCCCACTTCTGCTATGCTGCCTTCTCTGTGCCTTAGGATAAGGCACTCTGGGGAATGCCCTATGATAAGTTGACAGAGAATGAGAAGACTCAGGCCAAGTTTACCGATGGTTCTCCACAATACCGCAGGTGCCACCGGAGTGGACAGCTGTAGCATTGCCTTCCCTTTGTAAAGCATCCCTGAAGAGCAGTGAGGGGAAATCTTTCTAGGGAGCAGAGCTTTGAGCAGTGCACCTGTGTGTTCACTGAGCATTGGAGAAATGACTAGATATGTGCTTTTATACCAATGATAGCCAGTGGTTTGACTAGATCAGTGGTCGGCAAACTATGGCTCGCAAGCCACATATGGCTCGTGAGCCAGTTTGTAGCTCTGTTGGCTAATGAGTTTGCTGACCACTGACCTAGACTCTCAATTCCATTAATTACAGGTTGTTGTTGTTCCTTGTGATTAAGCCCCTATCCCAGTGGTCAACAAACTCATTAGTCAACAGAGCTGACCACTGGACTAGATAGTCAGGGGCTTGGAAGGAACATGATTGAAAAATTGGTGACAAGGAAGCCGGGTTACAACAATACTTGGAAGAAGTATGTGGATAGACTTCTCTGAAGAGGGAAAAAAGTATGAAGACATTTATGTCCCATGTGAAGTCTCACCAAAGGGTGACCTCAGTAGAGGACTTTGATCATGGATAGGATGATCTGTTCTGTGGATACCTGTCAGCCTCTTTCTCTGGTCAACCCCACTGCCACCCAGTGGGCTCATAAATAAAATGGCCATGATGGCAGGGATGGAGGATACACACGGATTTCCATTCACCAAGGCTGACCTGGCTATGGCCTCTGCTGAGTGCTCAATCTGCCAGCAGCAGAAACCAACACTGTATGCCCGATATGGCATCAATCCCCAGGTGATCTGCCTGCCACCTGGTGACAGACTGATTACACTGGCTACTTACATTATGGAAGGGGCAGAGTTTCACTCTAACTAGAGTAGACACTTACATTCCACACTGCATTGCTTCTGATCAAGGAACTCAAGTCACAGCAAGTGAAGTGCATGAAAGGGACCATGCTTCTGAAATTCACTGGTCTCACCATGTTCCACACTAGGTGGAATTATGACTTGTCACTGTTTGGAGATTAAGTATGGTGTTAAGGCAGGGGCGGGGAATGTAGCCCACGGGCCACACAAGGCTCACAAAACCATTTGGTGTGGCCCTGCACAAGGCATTATGGGTGAGTTAATTAAGTCCTTGACCAAATAGAGCAGGCCAATTTTTAAGTTGATAATTTTGTATGGATCTCGAATTATATTATAAATATCCAAATGGCCCTTGGTAGAAAAATGATTCCCCGCTCCTGGGAGGAGATGCATATGGCTGCCAAGCCCACAAAGAGTGTATCTGCAATGATTAATTTTAAGTGTCACATGACTGGGCCACAGGTTGCCCGGATTAAACATTATTTCTGGGTGTTTCTTTCTGAGATTAGCATTTGGATCCCCTCCTTAACGTAGGTGGGCACCATCTAATCCCTTTAGTGCCTGAATAGAAAGGAGAAAAAAAGTTTAACTTCGGATCTCATAGGTCTTCGGATCTCAGAACCACTGGCTTTCCTGGTTCTCCAATTTGCAGATGGCAGACTGTGGGACTACTCAGCCTCCATAACTGTGTGAGCTGATTCTTTATAATAAATCGTTTACATGTCTCATTGGTTCTGTTTCTCTGGAGAACCCTATAATAGACTCTTTACTTTTAGCCATTCCAGTGAGTATACAGTGACATCTCATTGTGGTTTAGTGCATTTTTTGCCCCATTTTTTTTTATGGAGATTTTCCCCTTTGAGTTTTGATTTATAATTTTATCCCAGGCTGTGGCTTGTCTTTACATTCTCTTAACAGTTTCTTTTTGAGACCGAAATTCTGATGAAGTCCACTTTATTAGTGCTTTCTTGTACGGATTGCACATTTTGTGTTGTAGCTAAAAAATCTTTACCTAACCCAAGGTCATAAAGAGTTCCCTTTAAGTTTTCTTACAGAAATTCTATATTTAGATTTTATATTTAGGTCAATGATCGTTTTTAGCATCTTTTTCTATATGGTGGAATGTATTTATATAAGTTCATTTCTCCCCACCACCTCCCCATGATAGCCAGTGGTTCCAGCGTCATTTACTGAAAAGTCTATCTTTACTCTACCAAATTGACTTCGCACCTTTGGGGGGAAAATCAGTTGCCTATATCTGTGTGGTTCTATTTCTGGCCTTTCTATTCTATTTCATTGAATATTTGTCTATCTTGATACAAACACCACAGTGTCCTCTTAAGTATTATAGCTTAAAAGTCCTGAAATCAACTTTGGACTACTTTTTCAAAGATGATTTAGCTATTCCTGCTTCTCTGCATTTCTATATGAATTTTAGATCCAGGTTGTCAATGTCTAGCAAAAAAAAAAAAAAAAAAAAGGATGAAGAAGAAGAAAAGAAAAGTCTGTTGGGACTGTGATTGTAGTGAATTTATGTATCAATTGGAAGAGAAACAGCATCTTCACTATACTGAGTAGTTCCTGTAGTGTGTGCTTCTCGCTACTTCACTGAATTATACTTGCACAAACCTCGGAACTTCTCTCTCTGCACCTTCTCCTCTCTGACACTCTGACCTCAAACTCTGGCTACCTTTGTCTTCCTGCACTCTCAGCTCCACCTCAACCCTCCCTGCGCCGCAGCCTGGACACTGTCTCATGGCAGTAAGCTGGGTAATCATAGGGCTCACCTCACAGATTTTCCATCTCTCACTGTTCAGTCCTTCACTGCTAGGTAGTCAATACCTTCAATATTGTTCTTTCAGATATTTTGCCCATTTTAAAAACTATTTCAGGCAGGAAACTAAATCTGGTTTTAAAAAAAATATATATTTTATTGATTTAAAAAAATATTTTATTGATTTTTTACAGAGAGGAAGAGAGAGGAATAGAAAGTTAGAAACATCGATGAGAGAGAATCATCGATCAGCTGTTTCCTGCATACCCCCTACTGGGGATGTGCCCGCAACCAAGGTACATGCCCTTGACCGGAATCGAACCTGGGACCTTTCAGTCCGCAGACAGACGCTCTACCACTGAGCCAAACCAGTTTCGGCTAAATCTGGTTCTTATTCCATTTTGATAAGTAGTGGAAGTCTCAATTTTTAATTTTTAATGTCAAATCTGCTCTCAAAGTTATAACATTCAAGTAAGAACAGGACAAAAACATAACTTAGTAATTAGTATAATGTTTTATAACTGTTGTTTATTTGTTCATTAATCCATTTCATTCCAAAGTATAACTTGGATGCTGCATAGTAAAGCACTTGCTGGCGCTGGAGCCTACAGTGCTGGGATCAAAGCCAGACATGCCCTTGCTCTCACAGAGCTTACAATCTAGTGAGACAGACAGACATTAATCAAATAATTGTAAACGAAAATGTAACAATGCAATTGTGATAACTGTTCTGAAGGAAAAGAATAGAATTATGCTATGGTAATTTACAAGAGGGTGATTTTCTGGTAGTTGTTTCTACTGAGCCTCTATACATGAGCTAAAAAATATCACTATTTATGTTAAAGTCACAAAGAAATTATAATACAGTGGGAAGAAAGTGTCCATCAAATAAACTTCAATATACTCTGTATTAAGACAATATGCTAAGTGCTTTGGGATACACAAAAATTATGACACTCTCTCTATGAAATAGAAGATCAAACCGGGCACATAAAATATAAAGAAATATAAGGGTTATATATCTACATCCCATATGATTTTAAACGGAAATTAACTACTTAAACCTAATTTTATCTATGCCCATTTTTAAAAAATTATTTTTCCCCATCAATTGAATTACAGAAATTAAATGAATACCTTTGAGGTAACAATACATTCATTTTATTTTGTTTAAGTCTTACCTAGATATCTCAGCTTGGGAATTCTTTTCCCCATCGACAGTGAAAGGAGACGCTCCAGTTAGTAGTTCATACATTAGGACACCTAAACTCCACCAGTCAACTGCCTACAAAACAGCAATTTCATTTGGTAGAATATTAACTAACATGTAATGTGTAAGAAAGAAAAATGAACAAAATAAAGTTGTATGTTTGGAAAATATTTAAGAAAAAGATTTTGTACATAGCTTTTTGTGCAAGGACTATTAAATTATCTCATGCAAGAAAGACATTCAGAGAATATCCAGGTATTCTCAGTACAAAATTTAAACATGTTCTAATGCTATCTAATAAAGAGGGAATATGGTAATTGACCATCACATCCTAACTAAGCTAGCAGCACCCACAGCCAATAAGGAGGGAATATGCTAATTGACCACCACACTCTCAAATATAGGGGCATTCACAGCCACAAAATGGATGCACCCAGTCCCCTCAGCCCCATGGGGCGGCAGGCACTGTGCTACGTGCCTGCCTCTGCAGTCCCCCAGTTCCTTCAACTGCCCAGCTGCCCAGAGCCGGCCTGAGGTGCAGGCAAACCTTGGATGGCGGCTGCCTAGCTGATGCCCGAGGCACAGGAAAGCCTTGGATGTCGGCTGCCCAGCCGCCCAAAGTTGGCCCAAGGTGCACGCAAGCCTCAGATGGTGGCTGCCCAGTGACCTAGGGCTGCCCGAGGCTTGTGCTGCCGGCAGTGGCAGCAGCAGAAGTGTGACGGGGGCGTTGTCTTCCCGATTGCTGGGTCGCCTTCCGCCCCTGAGGGCTCCTGGACTGTGAGAGGGGGCAGGCCGGGCTGAGGGATCCCCCCCCAACTCAGTGCATGACTTTTCATGCACTGGGCCTCTAGTTATTTTATAAATAGTAATGGTTTTACTTTGGTTAATTCAAAATAAAAATTTTAATTTAAAATAACTTTTTAAAATCTTAAGTGAAATCTTTGGATTTGTGTTAGATTGGGGGGGGGGAGTAACATTTACCTTTTTTTTTTTTTTTTTAACCACTTACCATTTTTATTAATTATTCAGCTCCAATAAATATTATAAAATTACTTAAAGTCAAAGAACAGAAATAAAAAAAAATCCTTTCTAAAGGGATTTTTTCATAATCACCTAATCATTTCCTCTTATAGAACCTATCACATAAAGCTAATAGTGGGAAGCATAAGATTTTAAATAATATAAAACAAAATGTGGTCTAAATTGGAAACAAATATATATGTGTAGTTATCTGAACTGAGAACACAACCAATTACATGTAATTTAAATAATATTGATATACTGAAAATTATTTCTTTTATAATTATGCAAATCAAGATTTCAATAATGGTTGAATATATGGCTTATGCCAATGAAATATTAACTAGATGCTAAAATTTTAAACTCTGTTTCCAAATTTGAGGGGTAAGGTTTCAGGAAAATGATGCAAAATGTATGATCCTAGAGATACTTCAAGGAAAATTCATAACAAAGATACAGAAAACAGGACGAGGCCAACTGAAACCACAAACGAGTGAGTGCCAGCCTGGCACAGCGATGAGCATGTTGTATACATTATATCTCATTGAACCCACTCAGAGTCATCGTGTTGTTCCATGAACTCCCAATGACTTAGCTGTATTCTAGATCTTAGGTATGCAGCAACCCTAGGAATAATATAAGGGTTTCTTTCCTACAAATTGGTTCCATTAGGTCTTAGAAGTTAATTTTAAAATTTTAATAGCTATATAGGCCTACCAAAGAATACTTTGACATGAACTAAAATAGCAATTTAATTCTTTTATTTATATAAGCAGTTTTACTGCCATCTGAGTCAGGAACCTCAGATATTCTGGGGGGGTTAAAATTTGAAACCAGGCTCCTTAATCGATACAGCTCTACACTAAGATGAGAAAACTTGAAGAATAGGCTTTAAACATATGGTAAGTCATTAGCAAATAATCTCCACATTTAAGATAGTTAGACTGTATATTGGGGTTTTGTAATGGGATGAGGGAAAGGGGACAGTGAGAAGCAAAAAATAGCCTGAATCTCTATTTGGAGAAAGTTATTAATAAAGCAAAAGAATTAAAAAAAGAACTGAACAGGTAATACAGGAAGAAAAATATGTGACCTAGATTTTATAGCATAGCTACTTAGAAAGCCTCTTCATGGCATTCATTTTGAACACACAAAGGAAAGTGAGGAGGGAAAAATTAAGCTGGTTAGAGGGCTTAGAAAAACAAATTTAGATGATCTTGAATGCTTAAAAAGGATTATTTTCTTTCTCCAAGGATTGTTACAATGATTATTTCTGTTGAAGAGATAATCAAGGAAGTCTCCAGTATTTCTACAAAGTTAAAAGCAGAAACTGGGAATAAGAAAGTAAGATTCCCTTTTCAATGATCTCTTAGAAAGCAAATATCAACCTAAGGTAAAACAGTCAACTATATGTCCCGGATATTTTTCTAACAAAAACCAATAATGCCAATAAGCACTGTCCAAAATCACCCAGCGCAACTCCGACAGGACCAGTGGACAGTTTACGCATTCACAGACCCCTCTGTAGTGCCCTGTGGCTCAGCTGTGTCCTAAAAGAGCAGGTCCCATGCAACAGAAAATGAGTGATTGTTGTTTTAAAATAGAGATACTGGTGCTTTGCTCAAGATACAGATTCTTAGTTGAAGAATTAGTTGCTTTTGAGGTTTCCTTTGAACAGAGTTACACTATAAAACAGAAAATTATCCTCGCCAATAAAACCTAAAAAAGGGGAAATCTAGACGAATGCCCTAACCTTCCCATTATCTTTTTCCTCCAAGCTACTAGGTATCATGCCGTGTTCATGTATACAAAGCAAAGGAGGGACAAGGTAAAAATAAGACAACACCAGAACAAGACTCTGTTGAAGAGACTGTACCTAAGTTATAAACTAGGATTTTTTATTACACATTTTATTGAAATTTATAAAAAAGTGCCAAAAATAGAACGTACCTTGTCATGTCCCGAATCTCCTCCTCTGATGATATCTGGTGCCATGTATTCAATCGTTCCACAAAATGAATATGCTCTTTCAGCCTTAAACAAACAATCAAACAAAAAGGAATTTGATTTCAAGCTGGTATGACTAGTGACAAAAAAAGAAGGTTCATAATACATGTCAATGATTGAGATTAATTACTATGTACAACAAAGCAACATAATGGCAGAATCTACTAGACAGACCCTCTTCTCACCAGGATAGACCATCATTTACACAGTATGAGTCCTGGATAAATGAAGATTTCCCATGCCTGACACCTACCACCATTTATTCACTATTCTTCTTTTCTTTATGTGCATAGATTTCAATTATTGGTTTCTTTAAGCATTCTTTTCTATAAGACTGGGAACAGTCCAAGTAAGATAACATGAACTGCCTAATATTTTACCAGGGATGACTTTATTTCCACACTAGAGGCCGGGTGCACTAAATCATGCGCAGGTATGGTTGTTAGGCCTAGCCTGCGATCAGGGCAGTCCTCCCTGGCTGCTGGCAGCCAACTGCCTACTGTCGCCACCCACCCTGGTTCCCCGTTTGCCATTCAGCGACGGGAGCCTGACAGCCGGGGGAGGGATTGAAAGGTTGGCTGTTCCCACCCACTTACTGGCCCACCCCTGCCATCCTCTGTGTGTGGGGTGACCGGCAGGGTGGGGGCCTTGGGCTGGCACTGCCTGCATCCCCCGCCACCCAACTTGGTTCCCTGTTTGCTATCAGCGGCAATCAAAACCTACAGGCTGGAGGGAGGGACCAAAAGGTTGGATTATTCTGCCTGTTCACCAATCCCATCACCCGCCCAGGTCCTTATTTGCCATCAGAGATCAGAGCCTGCTGGCCGGGGAAAGAGACCAAGAGGCAGTCTGTGCACCTCATAGTGACTGGTCGAGTGTCGTTATGATCACTGGACTTTTATCATATAGGGTGGGCAAGACTGGGAAGACACTAGAAACCTTGGAGGGGAAGGAGGCTAAATGCTAAGAAAGAGAATACTAAACCCAAAGATTAAAAAAAGGAGGATGTTTCTCCTACCTTACCACCCTGTCTAGTTTGGCACTGATAATAGAATGTTTAGAGGTGGTAAACAAACAAACTGTTTTTAAGAGATTTTCTCACCCTAGACGGTTTGGTTCAGTGGATAGAACATTGGCCCTTAGACTGAAGGGTCCTCATTTGATTCCAGTCAAGGGCATGTACCTTCATTGCAGGTTGATCTCCACCCTGGTCAGGGCACCTGCGGAAGGCAACCAATCAATGTGTCTCTCACATCAAGGTTTCTGTCTCTCCCCTTCCCTTCCACTCTCTAAAAACAATGGAAAAATATCCTCAGGTGAAGAGTAACAAAAATGTAAGTAAATTAAAGGAAGATTTTCTCTAAGTTGTTTCTCCTTTGTAGAATTTTTAAAAAGGACTAATTTTATTTATCAGCCTAAAAATTAAGTTAAAAAACTGAAGCAATTTTTAAGATGACCAAATGTATTGTAAGACTCATCCCAGTATAAAAAGATATAAACTAATGCTGATACATTAAACGGGGATAAAGAATTTCTCTTTAATAATACACATTTGTATGGCTATATCTGAAACTTTTAAAGGCACTTTGGTGCCATTAAAATACTTTTAAAAAGTTACGTTAGAGCAAGCTCTTCAATTTATACTTTACTTTCACTAAACAAGGGTTAAGAAAAAGAAGCATTACTCTTATTTACCATTTTTTAATGGTCAAGAACTCCATTTTAGCAATGCTATCAAAGTGGTAGAAGTCCCCTACTCTGTTGGCTGAAAGTTAAGCCCAGAGATAATGAATGCAATAAATTTATTTAAACACTGTAATAATGAATGTATTAAAACTACTTAATACTTAATTATAATACATAAATGAACAAAAATAAAGTATGTTCTATAATTCATTTCTTTCTTTTTAGGTGCTATGTAACTGAAAGATTATTATCCACCTAGAAACTAAAAGAAATAATTCCATTATGCATAGATCTGAAAAAATTTCTTTTTTAAGCTGGCAGAGTGCTACTGAATAGCTAATATAATAAATCATATATCAAATGTCATTATCTCTCTGCTTCATCATTTCAATACCAAATGTTAATTTTGTATCAAACTATTGGAAAGAGTAAAGCTAAATAAAACCTATTTCATATAAACTGTGTGTAAAAAATAATGAATAATTCTTAACATTTTGTTAGACATGCTTAAATAGGAAAAAATGTATTAAAAAGTATTAATCCTCTGGGGAGAGAGGGGATATGTGGGAGGAAGGGAGGGGGGGCAAAAAAAATCAATAAAATATGTAAAAAAAAAGTATTAATCTGTTCACTGAGTTATAAAATATGAGAAAATTAGTTTTTAAAAAAGCAAATGTCATAAAACTACAGAGTGGTTTTAGTAGTAGTTAATATACTATTTACTATATAATAACCCCTTTTTTTGATATTAGGCAAACTTCACTATGTAGATGACATAGAAAAACATAAATGTTACTAAGCCATAGTATTTATCTTAAAAGACACCTTTAAAAGATTAGATGCTAAGCCCTGGCTGGTGTGGCTCAGTTGGTTGGAATGTCTCCCATGCATTAAATAGTTGCATTTTGGCTTCCCGGTCAAGAAACATACCCAAGTTGTGGGTTCCATCTCAGCTCGGGGTGTATGCAGGAAGCAACTGATCAATCTCTCTCTCTCTCTCTTTCTCTCTCTCTCTGCCCACCTTTTCCTCTCTCTAAAGAAAAAAAAAAAAATCAGTAAAACATACCCTTAGATGAGGATTTTAAAAAACACACAAAACATTATATGCTAAATCAAGTTTAGTTATATAGGGAAAAATTTATCCAAACTGGTTTATGAGTAAAAAGATAATGGGTTTTGATTTATTGACTTTCTAGATTTTTATTTAGAAAACAGTTGTTTTTTTAAATTTTTATTTATTTATTTATTTATTTTTTAGCAAATATATATTTTCATTTATAGGCTACACCATTTTGAAACTGTATATCCTTCTAAGTATGAGACAATGATTACATTTTACAAACTGAAAGTTATGAAAATATGTATTATCTTCTTTAAAACACTAGATATTCACAAGTTTAGGGTACAAAGGATATGAAACATACAGATTTTATTGATTAGTGCCAGGAAGACTTTCCGTGTCTTACTTTCTGACAATGTAGCTCAGTTCTTTATTGTCTCCACAGAGAGGAAGCTGAGAACTACACTAAACGCTAGAAGATATTTCCTCCACTTTCCAGCTCTCTCTGAATTCCCTTTAGTTTTTTATGTTTGTTTTTTTTAAATATATATTTTATTGATTTTTGTACAGAGAGGAAGGGAGAGAGATAGAGAGCTAGAAATATCGATGAGAGAGAGAGAGAGTCATCAATCAGCTGCCTCTTGCACACCCCCTACTGTGGATATGTCCGCAACCAAGGTACATGCCCTTGACCGGAATCGAACCCGGGTCCCTTCAGTCCCCAAGCCGATGCTCTATCCACTGAGCCAAACCGGCTTTGGCTTGTGTGCGTTTTTTTAATCATCACCCAAAGATACGTTCACTGATTTGAGAAAGAGGAAAATAGACAGGGAGATAAAGAAAGAGAGAGAGAGAGAGAGAGAGAGAGAGAGAGAGAGAGAGAGAGAGAGAGAGAGAGAGAGAGAAAGAAACATTAATCAGTTGCCTCTTGTTCTCGCCTCCACTGGGGATTGAACCCACAACCTAGGTATGTGCCCTGACCGGAATCGAACCTACAACCTTTGGGATGATGCTCCAATCAACTGAACCACCTTGCCAGGAACAGTTTCTCTGGTGTGTGTGTGTGTGTGTGTGTGTGTCTACCTTAATAAATAATCAATACCTTCTTATTTATTTGATGGAAATTCCAGAATACAGAAAAATTAAAGTTTAAGTGTTGGGAAGTTCCAATAATGGAGGAATAAGTAAATAAAGACAAAGCACTTCTTAAGTCTCTCAGTGTGCTTTTTAAAAAAACATTGCCATTTTAGCTCCTTCCAAGTCTGTATCTGCTTTCTCTGCCTCTGCCTCAATGGAGGTGTTACTCCCTCTGGATTCTGACTTTCAGAATAATTCTAATCATTCCATAAGATAACAAATTGAAGAGGTGTGACAGGCGATGGTTTCTACTGTGAGGCAGGAAAGACTTCAGGGGCATACGTTAAAGCTACCACAAAGTTAAAATACTCTGAATGAGAATTGCCTTGGTGTGTGCACCATCCTGGCAGATAATACGAAATAGTTTTACTTAAGTGATCAGCTGACCAAAAAGGCTTCACTCTTCTTTAGACAGCAGAATCGGATAACACTGGATAAAAAGCTGCTTTCCTTCTAATGAAGAATCCAAATAGGAACTCAACTGCAAAACTCTCAAGTATTTCTCAATAAACACTAGATTAAATGATTCCTAGTTTCTATTTGCTAATATTTTATTCCGCTCTTACCTGCTCATTATTGATAAATGTGTGAGTTAAATGTAAATTACCAATGAAAAAAAGTTTTTCCACATCCAATGTGTTTTCCACCCTAAATTTGAAAATTCTCACAACTATCTGGAAATGTTTGATTTTAAGTGACTATCTCATTGCTAATCACCATGACTCTGTTCACAATATCATAAGAGTAACCCGCAGGTGTCAGCCATGAAGAGGGAGCTGAAAACCAGCAGAGTAGGCATCCATCCTATGCTAGCCGCACAAAGAAGGGAGAGAAGGGAATTGGTGACAGGCCTCAGCAATCTATTATAGAAGCTTGACTCTGGATACTCTTATGAGGACAAAAGATGAGGCCCTCAGCCTAAATGGGGTGGACTGGAATTAACACTCTTGTGTAAACCTTGGAACCTAAGAAAGGTGAACCCTTAGTAAGTGTGAAGTCTAGAAAAATGAAATTTACTGCCAGTATAGGTTTGTAACAATTTGGGCCTAGCTTAAAAAACAAACATTCCTCTTGTGAAATTAAATTGCCAGTTGTATATTTTGTAGATTTGGGACATGAATTTACTCTCCCCACATGGGATGGG